AGCAGGCCAAATACAGTGATCATACCATTTTGGTTTTTTTTTTAGAGACAACTCTGTTGCCCAGACCTCCTAAATACCTGGGACTACAGGTGTGTGCCACCACAACCAGCTAATTTTTAAATTTTTTGTATAGATGGGGTCTCAATATATTGCCCAGGCTGGTCTCAAACTCCTGGCCTCAAATGATCCTCTAGCCTTGGCCTCCCAAAGTAGTAAGATTACAGATGTGAACCATTGTGGCTGGCCACACGTGGGCATTTTTTATTGGATCTCCCTCCCTCAAGAATTTTGACCACCTTTTGCTGCACATTATCAATACACATTAAGGGGGCTTAATGATTAACAGGTTTCTTCTCCTCCAATTTTCAATCATTGATCAAATCTTTGGTCTTTGCTAAAAGAATGTAAAATGAGATTCTATTTATATTCAAATAAGTAAAAATGATTAGCATCTGTGATGACTTTTCCACCTCAGGATCTCAGAAAGCCTTGCAATCTTGATCATTGTTCCCAACCAGTGTTTATTGCGCTGGAGGTTGAGACCTCTTAGTGGTCATGAAATCGAATCAATGTGGCATAATAAAAATGGAATTGTCAAATCTCAGAATGTATCACACATGGTAAGAAGTATTATTTTAAGGAAACTACGTACAGAAGCTTCCATTGCAGAGGGCCATGCTAAGAGTAGAAAGAACGCTGAAGAGAAGCTGCCAAATATGACTCCTCCTTCCCCAATTCATTACCTGTGGACAACTGTCCTAAGACATGTGCGAGTCCCCTGAACAGAGGATGGGGGCTTTGGACACCTGTGCGGGGACAGGGCAGTGAAGGGAGAGCTCCAGCCCTTGACCAAGAAGGGGGTGGCAGTGGACCCAGTGATGCCATTGCACAAACTAAATGCCTTCTCCCACTCTTGCTCCCCACTCTCATCCCACCATCTTTCTCCTCACCTTCCTTATGAAGATCTGGAAACAAAAGTCTTCACTTCCTATATTGACCTTCTAGACACTTCTACCCACCCTTCCACCCACTACAAACTGGCTCCTGCTCCCACCATTCCACTGACATTGTTCTGGCCAACATCACTAATGAGCTCCCTCTTGTCAAATCAAATGGCTTTCAGACATCATCCTGTATGACTTTTTGAAACTCTTTGATAATAGCTTTAATAATGGAAATAGCGATCAAAGATGATATACCTTGAGTACATTTACTGCTGAGCACTTAGTGCTGTGCTCTGCCTGAAGCATGCGATGTGTGTTGTCCAACAACCATCTTTTAGGTTGGTACCTTGATTTCCCTATTCTAAAGATGAGGAAACGAGGCTTAGAAGGCCTGAGGAGATCACACAGCTAGAAAGTGGCACAACTGGGATTTGCATTCGGGTCCACCTGACTCCATAGCCAGTGCTCATAATCACCTCCTGCCTCTGGCTCACACCATCGCTCTCTGTCCTGGGCCTCCTGCTTCTCCCACTTTTCTGTCTTGGTCCCTTCCACTGTCTCTTCCTCCTTGCTCAGCCTCAAATGACTTCCAAATCTATCTCCTTAACTCAGACCTCTCTCCTAAGCTCCAAACATGTGGCTGTCTACTGGCCTTCCTCACCCAGACACCCCGTGGACACCTAAGAATAAAGAGAGCTCAAAGTGAATTACCCTTCCCTGAAAATATGCTCTTCCTTTCACTTTGCCTCCTCTTCTCTGTTTGTTCTTTCACTTATCCACTGAAATATTTACACATGCCTATGAGCTGCCTGGCACTATTCAGGCACTGGGAGTACCTAGAACATAGCAGACCAAGCCCCATCTTACTCTAGTGGGGAAGACATACCATAAACAAATGTGTATGTGATGTCAGGGAGTAAAATGTATTGTGAAGTAAACAAATATGTGGAACAGGGTTAGAGGATGGCAGGGTGATTAGATGCGCTGGCCAGGGAACCCCTGCCTCAAAGGAACAGAGGTAGGATGGAAGTGGTTGACATTGCCTCTGTCCCTCTGCTGTCCAAGATAGAAGTTCTGTGGGCATCTTCAACTTTGATCTGTGGCTCACCCCACACATTCAACTTTCCAGCAATCCATGTCTCTTTTACTTATTTCTCCCCCTCACCCCACTGTTCCTGCTTTGCTCAAGGACTCCTCAATGGCAGTGTTGCACCTGATTTTTGTCTTTTACATTGGGCTTCATCTTGCTGACAAAATAATCTTTCTAAGACACAAATCTGTTAATGTCTTTCACTTGCTGAAAACCTCTCCCTGGGTATCCATTTCCTACAGGCATAAGTCCCTGGTCCCAGCAGAGAGTTCCAAGTTTCTCATTCCCTTTCCCATCTTATCTCCTGCCACACTCCTTGGTGGGCATCCTCTGTTTATCCCCACCTCCCTGCCTTTGCACGAGCTGTTTCTTTCACTCAGAACACTTCTCACTGCCCAATCCCCAAATCTTATACATCCTTCCAGATTATATCCCTCTGGAAGCCTTCCCCAACTCCCCAGTCAGAATAGCTCACATTTTCCTGTCTTCCAGTTGTTCTATGGGTATGCCTCTGCTGTGGTATTTATAATGCTCTACTGTAAGGATCTGGGTTTCATTCATTCAATGTGCATTTACTGAGTGCCCACTGTGTACCAGGCTCCATCCACTCTTGGTACCCTGGATACAGCTACAAATAAGGCCAGACCAGGTCTCAGATCTCACAGAGGTTATGTTTTGTTCCAATGTCTCATCCACTAGGATGGCACCATGTCTTCAATGCAGTGAACAAATCCGTACTGTGTATCCAATACATAGTGTCAATTAATAGAACAATTAATTTAATTAATTCATGTCCTATGAACAATGAACTTTTGATTGCCAGAACTCCAGACAAATTCGGTAGAATATACCATCTTTATTCTGAATCACAGGAGGCTTGTTTTCACTCCATTAGCAATACTTCCTATTTGCAAATTTAATATAAAGTATAGATAAAAGAATAATGCTAGCAAATTCTGCTGTTAGGCAATGGTGGTTCAACACAGAAAGAGGCCATCATTTTGGGACTAGTAATGGTCTGTCTCCCCCATTAGAACAAGGGCAGGACTTGGTCTGCTATGTTCTTGGTACTACCACTGTCTAGAACGGTGTTTGGCATCTCACAGGCACTCATAAATATTTAAACAGATAAGTGAAAGAACAAGCAGACAGGAAGAAGCACAATGAGAGGAACACATATTTTCAGGGAGAGGTAGGCAATTCACTTTTGGTGCTTTTGATTTTTCAGTGCCCACAGAGCATCAAGGGGAGGAAGGCCAATAGAGAGACAAAATGTTTGGAGGTATCAGATGCTGTCTCCCAAAGAAACACTTAACGACTCTTTGAAGAAGTCATTTTCTTTGAATAACATTAGTAGAAATATGATGTTTTGTGATAATATTTTTGCATTTTGCACAAAAGACATAGCTTTTTACACAGAAGTAAAAAATGTGATCTGAGGGCAAAAAATAAAATGAAAGAAAAACAAATAAATAAAATGAACATAAGACTCTAGAGCATCAAAATCAGAATTTAAAACCAGGTAAAACCAGTATCACTTGGCAAAGACTGAATCCAAAATGATGAACCCCAAAGGTCAGATCTTTGAGGATGATTTTCAGACTATCAGATGGTGAATACCCAAAACTTATCTAGGATTTAGTAAGATTTTGGATGAACTATTCCACATCTGTCTTAGTTTTGTATTGATAAAACAGAATATCACAGACTGAGTAATTTTTAATAAACAGAAATTTACTGGCTCACAACTATGGAGGCTAGGAAGTCCAAGATCAGGGGCCAGCCTCTGCTGAGGACCTTGTCACTGCATCATGACTTGGCAGAAGGTACCATATGGGAGAGAGAGAGTGCAAGAGAGGTCTAAACTCATTCTTTTTATAAGGAATCCACTCCCAAGATGATGGCATTAATCCATTTATGAGGGCAGAGCCTTTATGGCCTAATCACCTTTTAAAGGTCCCACTTCCCAACACGACTGATTGGGGATGACATTTCCAACACATGAACTTTGGGGGACAAGTTCAAACCATAGCAATGCCCATACACAACCACAGGCAGTTAGGAAAGGGAGTTTTATACTGGAGATTTAGAGCCTCCATATGTTCATACCCTTTGATCCAGAAATACTACTTCCAATACCGTATCTTAACAGAATAATACAACTATATGCACCATAGAAGCCATGAAAACATTATGTGAAAGAGTAGAAAACTGGAAAATAAGCCAAATACTCAACATTCAGTGAAGAATTTAATGAACCAGGTATGTTTCCATCATGAAATATTATATAACCACCAACCATATCAATCTGAAGATTTAGTAAAAACAGAGAAAGTTTATGCAATAATGCTAAATTAAAAAGCAGAATATCAACTAATTATGGACACTCTGACTGCATCAATGCAAAAAAACATTTATTTGAGGAGGAAAAAAAAACATTTATTTGAGGAGGAAATGCTCCAAAATGGTAGCAATGAGGCAGATTATAAATTATTTTTTCTTTTTAGAAACTTTGTTTTATTAATAATAATGATAATTGCTAACAGTTATTGGGGGCTTTTAATACTACACATGTTCATTTTGTCTTCATAACAACCCTATGAGACATATACTATTAATACTGCTATTTTACAAGTAAGAAAATCTACGTTTAAAGAGAATGAGTGAGTAGCTAAAATCACACGGAGATTAGATGGTACATCTAGGGATAGTCCGTGATCTGGGCTCCTATCAAAGTCAAGGCTTTTAATCACTATATTATATTTCTATTTACTTTTGTTTTTCAATTAAAAGATGTATTATTTTAAAAATAAGGCCATAGTAAAATCAAATAGCATTTCCTTTCTGGTGAAAAAGTACTGAAACCTTAACTGGATTGGCTCTAACTCTTTTAGAAATCAGTGTGGTGCAGAGTGAGAGACAAGGGAGGCTAACATAGGGATGGCAATGACCCTCATGGCACCCACCTCTTCCAGTGCCTTGTTCAAATAATTCTTCTTGGCAGCCTCCTGGAGTTCCATTGCCTGATGGATGTACATTTTCCCAGTTAGGATTTCATTTTCCAGCATCAACAACTCTTTCAATGAAATGGGCCAATTCAACCGTTCTAATGCCTGGTTTAAAACTGTCTTGTTTTCCAAGTACTGCATTGGCTTGTTTGCGTCTAACCTAAAAAATAACAACAAAGAAGAAATAAAAGGTGAAGAAAATGACCATAATAGAAACAGTATGGTAGGACGGTTTCTCAGTAAATCCTCCTATGAGAAACATTTGTTGAAGCAGTTGTCAGATACCAGATGACAGAGTCGTAGCCATGTCCTCTGGTCTATCAGGACTTTGGTAGCTTCCAAAGGTTAAAAAGAACCATTTCTATGACTTATGGTAGGCACTTATCCTTATTACATTTGATTATTTGATTTTAAAGAAGTTTGATACACAAAAATTTTTTAGCAATTTTTTTCTGCATATTTGGAATCTATTCCCTTCTCCTTAGGCCTAACATCTGGCAGAAACAAACATGAGCTTCAGAGAGATTTCATATAAGTATGCCTAGCAGTGACTCTGAAAAACAAAGCAAAGCAAAACAAAACCCAAATGTTTGCTTTAGTGCAGTAATTCTTATACTCGCTCATTTTAGCTATTTTGATCTCCTTTCCTCCTTATAGGCTTAAACAGGCCTAAAGCTACTGGCTTTGCTGTTTTGGTCCACAAGGCACAGAAGCTAAACTTTCTATGGCTGATGAACAGAAGGACTCCAGAGGAATCTAGTGTGGTGTGATGGCCCAGGTCCTGGATTCTATTTCCAGTCCAAGCTGCTTCTGAGTCAGATACTTCTGGAAGAGGAGAGGCAGGGAGAAAGAAAGCATTTCATAATTATCATTCTCTTATTGCTGAAAGCATCACTTATTCCTTTAGATGTCAAATGTTAGAAGAGTACAGCCACAGGACTCAATCCACAAATAAAACCTGTCTTCAGAACAGCAAAAATTCTTATTAAAAATCTAAATTGGAATAATATCGGCAAGATGATGGAATAAGAAGCCACAGGCCCTTATTCCCCCACAAACACAGACTTAACAAAAATAGAGGGACCAAATTGCCTTTGTGAGACTTCAAGAAAGCATGCAAGAAGTTGCAGCACCTCAGACAAGTACAACATCAGGAAGGGTTGTGTCAAAGAAGGTAAGAAAGTTTGTTGCATTTTGCTTGCCCTAGCTCCTCCCCTCTCTCCCTGGAATAGCACAATGCAATTGGAAGAAAACTCCCAAATCCTGGCTTCTCCCTCGGAGAGGAGAGTGAAATGTGCACCCCAAATTCTTGTTTTTTTGAGGGGCTGCCCCTAAAACTGGTCTCTGTCTTGCCCGACTCAGAGTGCTGACAGGAACAGTGATATATTTTGGGAGCCAGATTGGGGGCCACACAACAAAAGAGTGCCACAGCTTGTTACAGCATCAGAGACATTGCAATATTGCAGAGAGACACCAGCGGGTGCAAGAAATTACAGGCTCCTAAGAAAATCAGGGGCAAACCTATTTAACTGGGACATTGCGCACACAGCTCAGAGAAGACAAATCCCCAGAAAAGGTTTGAGAGATCCATAGTATCTCTAAATGGCATGACTGGTGAAGGTCTTCCCCTGTAAAAAGTCAATCTGCAAAAACTGGGAGAAGTGGCTGTTTTTTCAAATGCCCTAATCTCAACTAAAGGCATGCAAAGATATGGGGAAAGGCATAGAAAGGTATGGGGAAATGGCCCAATCAAAGGAATAAAATAAATGTCCAGAAACTGATACTAAAGAAATAGAGATATATTAATTACCTGACAAAGAATTCAAAACAATCATCTTAATGATACTCAATGAGCTAAAAGACAACATAGACAACTACAGAAAATCAGAAAAGTGATGCATGAACAAACGGGATCCGTTTGTACTCACCATCAAATTGGTATTAACTAATCAACACATAAATGCACATATCAGAACAACATCTATTGGATGTTGGGGAAGGGGGAGGGCGGCGGGAGGAGGGGCAGGA